ATATTTACTGAGAAAAATGGTGACATGTTCAATACTTATTTTACCCGCTGTATATGATATTTCTAATATCACACAGATACAGCACCGCAGGAGCTGTTCCTTTCATAGAGAATAATAATGGAACAACTTGAACCCAATGAAAGCCATTATGATGATTTTACTGAGATATTTTGTGATACAAAGCTGTAAACCCATATATTTATGATTCTGAGACAGCTATCTGTGTTAGGTACTTGCCTCTCAAATCTAGAATTTTATTTTATGGTGGATTTCCCTTTACAGCAGCATTTTGATTTTGTGGCCCATTATTATGCTTCATAGCTGTTTATGGTCAAACTTAGGTTGAATTCTGTGAACTGAGATCCCATTATTCATCAGGAATTCTCACCAAAATCTACTCCCTTTTCAGCACTATGTATGTGGAGCTGTATAGGATTGTTGGCTGTCACTGCAGCAGTAAGCTATCTGTGCATGCATGCGTTTTATATCAAAAACCCTCTTTTCTCTTCCTGTATAACAAAACTCATGTAGGCATACGCATAAAATTATCCAAGCAAAGGTGATTTGGGGCATCAAGTTTACCCAACCATCCTATAAAACCCCCAGTCTTGTGATCTAACTATTCAGTGGCAACCAACAATCCTATACAGCTCTATACATAGAGATGAAACAATTAGTTGATTTGATTTATTAGACAATTAACAGAAAAATAAAGGCAGAAGTAGGGATGCATGATATGGATTCATGTGTGTAACAGCAGTTTCTAAGAACCTACATGACCCTTTGACCTGGTTGTTGTAAACCCACACACAACCTACACAAGAAGCTATTATATGCATCTAACCTTTAACCTTGTTTCTTACTATACTCTATGTAAACTCTAAGTAAACAGCAGTATTTTGAGCAGCCATTTCCCCAGAACTTAGTAAAGATTGAAAGAAGCAGTATCATTTTATCCCTGTTGGAGCGTCACTCTAACACAGTTACTTATTCCTCTTTGGAGCCTTCACATACAAAGTGTGTGATGGTTGCGTTAAGTCCATTCATGGATGATTTGAATAAAACCTTAGACAGACAAGATCATACGTTGTATGCTTTATTTAACAAATAGCCACCACAAATTGGCATTGTAAGCAGGATCACTTGTGTGACAGGACTTCGGACACTCAGGGCTGAAGGTAAAGACCATGCTGGCTAGTCTGGGACTCTAACATCAACCTCCCTGCCAAACAAAGGTTGTGACAGACGTGTCAGCAGGGCAGGTAAAGACCGCTGCAGAATCACCAGAGCTTCAGGTGAAAGAGCTATAGCCAGGAGACTTGAGTCTGGGACTCGTCTGGAAAGTACATGCACACGTGTGAATGAGATTATGTGTGAAAGAACTGCACATAAAATAATTGTTCAGGTTAAAGAGCTGTAGCTGGGAAACTTAATTTCGGGAGTCGTCTGATGCAGGAAGTTGCATGGATTTGTGTGAAAGAAATGTGTGGGGAAAAAGTGTGAAAAAAAGAATGAATGATCGATTGTTGACTGCAGATTTTGAGTGACAAGAAGAAAAAAAAAAAATTTTACTCTTCGACCCTTAAAGATTAAGGAAAGATTAAAGGACCTTTATTTGGATCTATAAAAGTCTTTTTTGAAACCATGATCTTCAAGGTCCATGTAAAGTGGAATTCAGAAACCAACATCACTTTTGAGAGAACAAGGGGATGATTTTGAATCCCTTTTATCACTTTTGGGGAATTTGTTTTAAGAGAGAAAATGGGTTCAACCAATAGCAAGAGCTCAAAAGATAGCAAGTCTCCATTGTTATTACTCCTGTTGACTTCTCCTAACATTCAGTATATGACCAGCTATGGTGAACAACGTACTGACCAACTTGACATGTGGGCTAAATGAGAAGAGAAGAAAGAACGAAGAAAAAAGGAAATGTTTTCAGAGCAGATTGGAAAGTATATGAGTACACAAGTATATATAAACATTAGGGACAGAAAACTAAAGGCAGAAACAGAATCAGTAAACACCTCTACGTCTCAGTGCCTCAAACTAGATCCTGATCTGGACTCGGCTTCATCCAGAAGACAGCAGGCGGCACTACGAGAATACAAGCCGGCACTACAAGGAGACGCAGCAGCTTAACAGCCGCCACCAGAATCCATCCAGGGTTCAGGTGCAGAGAGACTCTATCCAAACATCAACATAGACTGTGTCAGAATATTTAGCCAGACTCATACAGGTTCACAAAACACACATATTCATAGACCAGAGGCCATGGGGGGAAACAATCCCATCTCCCCCTGGGAGGCCCACTGGAAAGAAAGTTTCATCCATGGCATTAAGCCAATCAATGACATGGTGAAATGTAAGTGTGTGATTTGGGACTATGGAAATCTTCAGATTACAACTTGCCCTGCTGATACGAGAACCAAAGCAAGATGTTTACCTTTAACCATTTATGCCATCTTTAATGCAGCATTAAGGAAAAATTAGAATCACTCAATCTAACGGCCATACAGCTAGCTTATCTAAACTGCAGCTTTTCTCTGAAAAGGTCATCTTTCTGGGTCATGTGATCACAGCAAAGGGCAAAACCTTCTCACCATTCCACAGCCTGACACAAAGAAACAGGTAAGGTAATATGAGGTTTTTGGGAATGAAATCCTACTGCAGACAGTGAATCCTAAATGATGCTGAAATTGAGGCACCATTGGCAACAACTGTTCAAGTCCATTAGACACCGGAAACTGAGAAAGCTTTTGTTGACTTAAAGCTGGATGTAATCTGACTACTACTTATTTTTATTCTTATTTTATTCTTCTTTTTACGTTTTTACATCTTTGTAAAAAACACTCATGATTAGGTCACATTGATTCATCACTTACAACCAAAATGACTGCCAATAATTTAATAAATGGAGCGAAGCCTGCGAGCTAGTTCAGGCAGGTCAACTCGAGCCGCGCTGCTATACACACATGACTTGCCTATCTATAATCACTAACCAAGCGCACTCTCTCAATTTGGCGGCCTATTGAAGCGCAAAGTGCCCAGCTCTCCCTCTGCTCAATGCCGCTCTTGCCTCAGATCACTTCGCTGCTACTCCAAACTATTGCTGCTGCTGCTGCGCTGTAAGCCCCACCACCACCCCAGCATCCACCTGTAGGCTCCGACAGGGGGGTTAAGGTATTTGTGCATCATTCCCCAATATCTCTGTAAACATATGTGCAGGGAGTGATGAGGTCAGAGCCTAGACGCCAAAATCTAATATGTTATACTGCTTTATTAAACATTTCAAACGTGAGTTGGCTGTTATAATTGGATCAGAATGGGTTTCATATAACACTGAAGGATTTGACTGAGCATTCACAACATACATTTTGTGACAGGAGGTGATGCTGCGCTGACAGATGAGATCACAGCTGACGGTCAGAATGGAGTCTCATTCATTCATCCAATGGGAGAAATTTTCCTTCAGCCTCTGGCAGGTGAGACTTACTCCCCCACATATTATCATAATGAAGACAGTGATGCTGATAAATCTGATGACTGCCTGAATGAGAATAGAGAGAACAGAGGAGAGTAAAAAAGTAAAGACTGGGCTGTTGAAAAGTGGACAATCTTTTTGTCAAATTAGAATAGAAGAGAGTAAGTGAGGTACCCTAGATCAGAGTAGGAAAAAAATGTGGAGGACTAGAAAGAATAGAAGAGAGTAGAAGGCAAATACCATCCCCTGATGAAGACTGAATAAAATAGAATAGAGTAGAGTAGATTCGAGTTGAGTAGAATAGAAAAATAAAGAGAGCAAATTTCCTCTGCTGGTGAAGGCAGGAAGATGCAGCTGAGTGCCCTCGAAAAAGCTAGTAAGAGGACATTGAATTACGATTTTCTTCCCCAAACTAGAATAAAATAGAATGTAACTGAGTAGAGTCAAGTAAAGTAGAGAAGAAAGCAAACTCTATCCATTGATGAAGACTTTGAGATGGAGTTGAAGCTCCGGAAAAGGTAAGTAAGTGGACACTGAGCAAAGTTTTTTTGTCAAACTAGATATGAGTAAAGCGGCATAATAGAGTAGATGAAGAACACAGATGCCATTCACAGCCGCAAGATGCAGTTGAAATCTCCAGAATAAGCTAGGAAGCTGACATTGAGATATGTTGTAATCAGACAAATAGAGCGCAGGTGTTTGCCACATGGATAACGCAGCAAAGTGGTGGTAACGCTGTGGAAGGTCTGCTGAAAGTTTCCTAGCAACAACTAAATCAACAAATAGATGAGTAGAACATACAATGGTAATAACATTAAGAAGAAGAGCAAATTCCAACAATAATGACAAATTAAGACTAAGCCAAGACATTACTTTGATAGGCAGTCATAAAAAGAAGTGGATCGATGAAGACAGGCTGAAGAATTACAGGCTCTGTTAACAGATGTTAACTGCAGTTAATAATCGCCCTGTGCTTTATTTTGGTGGTACTAATATTAAAACTCAAGGACATCTTTGGAGTTATATAACATATAGTTGCATCACTGCTTAGAGTCATTCCAGGAACAGACAACGTTAAACATGGTTGATCCCAAAGCAAAGAGACACCGTCAGTGTAAAGATTAAATCCTGAGCTACTGGGTGTCTGTGCACTTAGTTCACGATCGATCCAGTCAATGCCTCGGGGTGTACCAGCATGTGTAGTTTGTGCTAAACTATCTGTCTGAGCATTTAGGCCTACACACATGCACATAGATCTGTAGTGTTTTTTGTCTTTTTGTGGGACTACCGGCCATCTGATTCTCATTATTTAGGGGGAGGAACAGGAAGGCGGTTGACTAATTCACAGCCTCATGTAGCCTGTTGCCTTCGGCGCCAACAGACAAACCTCCATTCTCATGTGAAAGACGCTGTTGTTGTTGCTGCGTGTGCTGCCAGTTGTCGCTTTCAAACACAATGACAATGCAGTGTTCAAACATGAAACGCAGGCAAAGCGAGATACAAACAAAGAGATTAACTTAAATGGTTATAATTAAATTTTATAATGTAGTTAAATTATAATCTTGTATTTAAGTAAAAGATGAGGTTTAAATTCTGACACACATGACACAAGCCTACCTCTGCTTATATTCATAATTTGTATCAAGAAACAATGTAGCACTGTTCAAGTCACAGATACGAGTAATTGAATAATGGAAAAATATATGTATAATGTGGACCACATTGTTGAGCCAATAATGGCATTTATTTCTATTACAGATCCATTTAACTTTGCATACATTTGAGCACAGCATGTAATGTGTTCAGAGATTAAAAGTCAAGGGTGATGTCAACTCATGTAAACACAATAACCAACAGTGTCTCAGTGTCAGTCTCTCAATAATTTCTGACTTCCTTACTCCCTTTACTACCCACTGTTTGGGGCTCTCAGCCCCGAGACCCATTTGTTTCAGCTGAAGAAATTGAAAAAAAAAGAAAAAAAAGGGATAGATCAATATACTTTAATTTTTAGAAAAGGCTAACTCATTTCCTTACTATTTTCAGCTGCAGATGTGTAATTGACTCAAAATAAAATACAGTGCCAGTATTCATTGTTATGAGCACCCAGTGCAACAGTGTTGCACTCAGTGCTGAGTGACAATTAAGACTATTAAGCTCCATTGTACAGAGGAATAAGCTATAACGTCTTTGGCTGCACAGATAACACTTGTGAATGGGATCTTCTTTTTGATTTGCTGACAAACAGAATAATATAGAATATCACAAGACCTTGTTGTAATGATCTCCCTCTGTAAGAAATAGTTTGTGTCTGATGTTTCTGTCTCTTTGCCCCTACGTGTTTATGTGTACATCGTTTCCTCTAGCCATGGAGAGTCACGGCGAGTGTGAGATCAAGGTGCAGCTAAACTGCAGCCACTGTCAGTCGCAAAGCTGTAAACGAGATGAGGATACTCACCTTATCCTCTGTCTGTGCGATGACGACAAAGTCCTGGCCAGTGACAACGTCACGTGTATCGGCACTGTAGGTAAGTATCTCTACCCCCAGCAAACACTACTTTTTCTTTTAGATAACAGTCATAACAGGTCATTTTATTGTCAATCAATGAATCCATGTATAATTATTTCTTATCTAACCAGATAAAGCATCTACACTGACACAGTAACAAGTTTATTAATCAACCCTTTTCTCCCAGCAGCTCCTCAGGGCCTGGCTCCGCAGGGCCAGATGTCGACATCTTTGATCCTGGCAGTTGTGGTCTCCACCATCGCGAGCGGCATTGCGCTGATCTGTGCCGGCGTCATCCTCAGTAAGAGACTCTTCCAGTTCTGTGTGCAGTCTGTGCCCTCCACCTTCCACCGGCTGTGAGCACAGCTGGACATACAGATGCCTCCAGATGTTACTGACAGAAACAGGAAGGAACACCTCTGATAAGTGTTGTTTTAAATACTCTCCTCTGGCTGTATGCCAGGTGATTAAAGGAGCTGTGGCGGGGATATGGTTTTGAATTATACGTACGTTGCTGACACAATATGAAGTAAGCACATATGGACACTTTTATTACAAGCACTTATTTCAGGTGGTGCTCTCCTGTTGCTGGCTATATGTAAATACAATCCTGACTATTTTTTTGTTGCCAAAGATTGTGAAACAAGATGATACTGCAGATGAGAAGTGAGATAATGCAGTTAAATACCATATTGTTTATATGTTGTATTTATTGCCTACAGATTGCTCTCATTGAGGCAAACAGCCGAGATGTGCTTTAAGCATCTCACTCTATGACTTTAATATAAAAACACATCATTGGTTATAAAAAGGACAAGTGGAAAGGTTTGACATTTAACTATGATGTTTCTCTCAGCTGGAGATGTGTACTGATGAGTGAGATTAGATTAGATAAGATAGCGGTAAATGTCAGATGTTATGATTTAGTGGGTGAAAAAACACAACTGAAAACTGAAACAATTGTGGTTATATAGACATAAAGATTAGAATAATATGGGAAAATAGAGAACTGTGATAAAAGATTAGCCTTTTAGTCACTATGGGAAGTGCACAGTGACAATTTATCTTAACCCATGGGCATTGACTCTTTATAATAAGTGTTATATATAGCAGAAATACATGCTATTCACACAAAGCACTCTGATATAGAGTACATGGGAGAGGGATCTGTTTTTAAATGAAGAGATGACTAGATTTGTTCACTTTCTGTAATCTGAGACAATCTGTCAATCAGACGTGCTGTAAAATGCTTCACTGATGATTCAGCTTACAACAGGAATAATTAGGGAATTAACAATTAACCAGTTGTGTAGTTTTAATTGTACTACTCAGTGGCAGTGCAACTCTAGGAAAGAGAAGGCAACTGAGGTATAAAGAGACAACCACAATCTAATATTTAATATCAATTAAGATTGTAACATTGCCTAATGATACTAATGTTGCATTAGTATTTAACTTGGTCTAAAAAGCTGCTATGCAATATATACTGTGTAATGTTGACTTATATTCTAAACCTCATTTTATTAACCGCAGACACTTTATATAAATACAGTTTGTATGTAGTTGTAACAACAACATATGCAGTCATTCTGCAATCATATAGGACAGTGAGGGATTATACAGCTGATAACACTTTTTTGCACCTTTGTTACCTTTTTGACAACCATCTGCTGCAGATGAATTGGAAGGGAATCCTGACACTAATCCTCCACTAAGTGCTTTTTAAGGTGTAAGAATATAGCAGATTCTCTCTCTCTTTTGTCCTCTACATAACCTCACTGAAAGTGCTGAATATTAAGCTCAACAGTGAGAGACTCACTCTTTCTTTCCCACGGTCAGTTTTGGTGAATCTAAACCTCTGGAGAAATCTACACAGCACTAAATTCCTGTAAAATATCAGTTTCTTGCCTCCGGGCTTGTGTGCTGTCTGACAAGAAAACCAAGCATGATAAAAGCAGTTAAATTTTTGACTGAACTAATATATACAGTAAAAGTCCGGCAAGGAAAGTTATAAATAAAAGGTAAAACTGACAGATTTAAGGAACAATATAGAGATTCTTTCCCCATTGTAAAGGAAAACCAAGCAGACACTGCTCCCCAGAGGGTGATCCTCTTGTCACTTTTGACAACAGTGGAATTAGAATTGCAGCCTCCAAAAGAAGAGATGGAACAGATTAGATCAGGTATATTATTTCTGTAAGACTTGATAATAATAAGTTCTAATGGCAGACCCTCATATGATATGTAATAGTATTGGATAAGGTTCCTAATGTAAATGTTGAAATTAAATGCACATTGGAAGAAATCTATTGGTTGGTTTACAACAGTAGAATATCAGAGTGATGAATGTTGAGAGAGTGTAGTAAAAAAACAGAACTTTAGAGGAGATGAGAGATCTGGGGAAATGGGCAACAATGTTGAAACAGCAGTCATTTTTCAGAAGAATGGGAAATAGGAAATGCATTAAAGTGGAAAGGACGGGTTTGGTAGGTAGGACTAAGGTCAGCCAGGCCGGCCAATGTTAGTCATCAGATAAAAGGTCTTTTCAGATAAAAGTTCTGAACAGAAAAGACAGAAAACAAATGAAAATGTTAGTATGTGAAGCAGTAAAGCAAAAAGGTTTGAGCTTAGTGATCACTAAACATAGATACGCTCTGTGTAATCAGAGTGTAATCAGACAGATATTAATTGCTGATAAGATGGTTGTTTTGCTCATTATAACCAGTCATGGACAAACAGCTGTGGAGTGTAACTGCATGACATCGTGCTCCTGTAATTACCAAAGTGCAAACTAAGCTGACTTCTATGCACAACAATCAGACAACGCTCTTTTTTCATGAAAAATGGATGAGCTATTTAGTGTGACTTCTTCACTAACTGCTTTGTGTGTAATTTTGTGAATTTGCAAGTAAATAAATCCAGTATTAAAACAAACATCTGTGCAATTGCATACATGTTGCTTTCCGCTGCAAAAAAAAAAACACCTATACACACCCTTCAGGTTAACGGTGTCTCTTCACCTGAGCTCTCCCCCATGCAGGGAGGTAGTCTGTTCCCTGGGCGCCCCATCTCCTCCTCCTCTTTCCCCTCCTCCTCCTCCTCCTCCTCCTCCTCCCCTTCCTCCTCCTTCTTCTCCCCAACCCAACCCTCATCCCAAGTCCCCTGAGTCCCTAGCATCTGCACCGGGCGATGGCTCGACGGCACCTCTTACCTGCACGCAACACCCCTCTCCCTGGCAGACTACCAACCTGCATCGGGGACATGGGCTGCCTCCATGGCGGGTGAGTCCAAACTCACTGGCACAGACGGTCTAGGAGCAGTAACCAAGGAGACGACGTCCCACCTGTATCCCGCAAAACATTGTTTGTGTGTGAAAGGATTTGTCTTCTTAAAGGGGAACTCCACCGATTTCTTTTCCACATCAGAGTCTGTTTACAGGTCTTGTGCAACTGCAGATGTGAACTAAAGTAGCATAAAGCCTGCCTTAAGTGAGGTCACTCGAGTCAGTGTCGGTTAGGACATCTATAGGCCACTCCACTTCTCTGTTTTAGACTTGCAGCTCAAGGCTACATTAGCTGCTACTAGTATAACACACCTGAATCTCTGATGGCGGTTGTGTTGCATTGTGGGTAGCGTAGGCGTAGATAATATCTCTGGTTCTGCTGCATACATTTTATAACGAAAATTGTAAAACTGTCTGTTATGAGTCTGACAATGTTATAGAAGAGCAATTCTAAATCGGTGGAGTACTCTTTTAAGAGCAAAAATGACTGTCTGAACCAACTCTCTGACAGTCTCACATATTTACATTTAAAATCATTAACTACTGAGATGTGGCTTGACCCCTCCTTGTGTTACCGCTCCTACAGTCAGCAGATAGTCAGGAAGTTGCTTTTACAACTTACATGCAAGCGTGGGGTCCAGTTAGGGTTATGATTTTTTAGACTTTGAAGTAAAACAACGCTTGACTCTGTCCTCTCTTCATCTTTAGTGTGGTACCGCAGAAAAAACGACCTGCATGCAGTGAGGGGGCGTCTGCAGAGTCCAGAGTACAAGCTGAGCAAGATCCGCTCCTCCACCATCATGACGGACTACAATCCCAACTACTGCTTCGCAGGGAAGGCCGCCTCACTCAATGAACTGAAGGAAGTGCCACGCAAGAATATAACACTTCTCAGGTACAGAACACCTGGACACGATGTCAGAATGTCAGTTTGATTTTCTGAAGGCTGTTTGTGCTGCTGCCCAATCTTACAGCTACACTTCAATCGTTGTATTTTTCACGTTGTTTTTCAGGGCTCTTGGCCATGGTGCATTTGGTGAAGTCTATGAAGGACAAGTTCTGGGGATGAGCGGTGATAACAGTCCCATGCAGGTGGCCATAAAGGTCAGTGTGCACTGTGAGGCGCATGGGGAAAAGTTGCACCTAAATGTTAGATGATAGCACCTCACCAGGAGCTATGTTGATTACATATAATCCACTCAACCCAGCTCCACAGGGGTGCTTTTGCTTTTTCAATCTAAAGGTCACACACGCATGGGGGGGTTAAAAAGACAGGTTTTTGTCATGTATATATTTAGAGAAAGGTCATTAGCTTCACTTACGACATACTATATTATATATTAATAAGGTGTTGTGTATATTAATAAGGTGTTGTGTAAAAAAACTCATGAACAGATGAAATCACGTACTGCAAAATCATCAATACTGCACAATATGTCTGTGTGACTCTGAAAAATTTGTTCAGTCACTGACTTCAGATCACTTGGCTTAAAAACTACACATGGTAAAAAATACTAAAACTGAGTGAGCTTTACATGCGTTGGCTTGCTCTTCAATAGTCTGCTGATTAGGTCGAATGAGGTCTTTCCCCTTCGCAGTGGCACACACTCACATCAAACTGCTTCTTTCATTCTTTCTGCTCCACAGACTCTCCCAGAAATCTGCTCCGAACAGGATGAAATGGATTTCCTGATGGAGGCGTTGATTATGAGGTGCACTATACTCTAGCTCTACACTTCCTGTGTACATCACACGCACCCCACTGGCTGTCCTATAGTTTATTTCACACACTGATTCACCCAATGCATCCTCCTTATAGCACACAACACGTGTGAAACAGCAGTGTGCTCACATCATCAGACAGCAGCTGGCTTTGTTTTATAGCTAAACATGTTCCTCGGTGTTAGAGGAGATAACCGCTGGAGCCAAATGTGAAACTTTATTCGCTGGAAAACAAACCACTTCTATAACGTAACACACATATTGGCCTCTCACATAAATAGCTGGTTGTTTCAGCTAATTATATGAATGGTCAATTAGGCAGTGATAGACATATCTGCAGGATATGTTTTGATCTCTGGAAAATAACTAGAATACAGGTAGTTTAATCCTAGTTTATGACCTGTGTGATGTTTATTGAGCACCAGTAATAAGTCTCCTTCCGTAACATCTGTTGTTGCTTCATTAGATATGTTTTAGAAAGACAAGACTTGATGCAGATAGAAGAAGATTTCCTAATTTAGATTAGTTTAGGCCTACAGTTCCAGCCCCTTCTAAATAATACAGCCGTGATCACACACAGGGATACAGTCACTCAGGTCACATATGTATGGAAATTGAGTGACAAAAATATAAAGCAAAGGATAAGCAAAACCAGTTTTACTGTTACTAAATGTGGATTTGAGAGCGCACAGCAACAGATTTATTAGATCCAGATAAGTTTTAAAGGTGAGCAAACGCAGAATCGGGGGCATAATCCATATATTGTGGCCACAAGAGGAGTTGTGTCTGTAAAACATCTGTTTTTCATTTTAAAATCTGTGTGCTGTTATTCTAAAAATGTTTATCCCTCGCATGAAAGCCCAAGTAAGAGCAGATGAAAACTCATTAGTTGACCTGAAAGTGAAGCATCATCTTGTAAGACCTTTTTTATTGGTCCACAAGTTTCAACTGTGAAAAAGACATGACCGTGTTACTGATGAAACTAGCAAAAAGTCCCTTTTTATGTTGTAATTACTTTACTGCTTAGAATCTGCTGAAGCAGTTAGACAGACTCTTTCAAACTCAGCAAGCTCCAAATCAGGATTTTTTTTACTAAACTTGATCTATGCTGACAACTCTGTCCCTATGAGCTTCCAAATCTTCAGCTTGAATTAGTTTTGTAATTGCTTAAAGGGCTAATTTGTGATATTTATACATTATGGCTTCATTAACTGCATTTTATGTTACATTTTCAAACATATACAAAACAGAGAAAAAAACGCAAATGATATCAAAATCATTGTATTAAAAACATAGAATATGCAGTTAATATGACAGCTGAGGTATGTGTGCAGCAGTCAGTGACTGAAATGTTGATAGGTCTTCAAATTGTTTTATGCACCTTGTACATTTATATCTGCGCTGTATTTAAGGATCACAAAGTCAACTTTGTTATATGATAATTGAAAGACAAAACTCTCAGACAGAGTGTGTACCAGAACCCATCTTCTCTCTTTCTCTCTCATCTATATTGTCCTGTCTTTTTCTTTCATATGTCACACAGCACATTTTATACGATTAACACACACAGGTGCAGGCCTGCTAACCCAAGTGTTGTTCATTGTCCACACAGCAAGTTCAGCCATGAGAACATTGTGCGCTGCATCGGCGTCAGTCTGAACATCCTGCCGCGTTTCATCCTGCTGGAGCTGATGACCGGGGGAGACATGAAGAGCTTCCTGAGACAGAACAGGCCACGAGCTGTGAGTCTGTGCTACACTTTTCTGTGTGTGTGTGTGTGTTGTGTGTGTTTGTGTGTGTGTTTGAGGTGTATGTGCTTGTGTATATGGTACACTAAATTGATCTGTGCTGCATCCAGGGCCAGACCTCTTCTCTCACCATGCGGGAGCTGCTGCGGATGGCCAGAGATATCGCCTTTGGCTGTCGCTACCTGGAGGAGAACCACTTTATACACAGGTTCAGATCCACTGCCAGTTATTACTGCTATGAGCTCACTTTAATACAAAAAGAATTGTGAGAGCCCCTTCTTCCACGACAAAAACATGTGAATGAGTATCATATAATTAGGACTCACTATTTTTATTGAACCCGGTAATGTTTCATTTTAAATATATTTAAATAAACTGAAGATATATTTACATGAACAGGCTCTGTTGCATAATTAGCCACAAATTTGATAGATTTTTACAAGTGGACCTTCTTTACTGTAAACTACAGTGGTTGATGTTCTTGCAGCAGGAAACATAATTTTCATGTAAATGTAAATCCTCCTTTTTAAAATGTGTGTTATTGTTAACAAATTTAAAAACTATGAGTCTTAGGTTAGAGAGTTTATGGCCACCATATGGCTACATTTTGTAACAGGTCCTGTGTTTTTCAGAGACATTGCAGCTAGAAACTGCCTCCTCACCTGCCCTGGACCAGACAGAGTGGCCAAAATTGGAGACTTTGGCATGGCTCGAGATATATACAGGTGTGTATCCTGAATCTGCATCACAACACACTGACTGTCTACATAGCAAAGCACACAGGATGATTTACAGTGGTGTCTCTCATGGGTGCAGGAGTCCAGGCAGAACTGGGTTGATGTGGTATATGGGGGACCGGTTGAAAAGCTTATCTTATTGTCCTCCGCAGGGCCACATTCAAATTTACTTACGGAGTTCATGGCCTAGTGGTTTTTACCTGCTCTTCTTCTCTTCTAAACTGATGGTAAATGGACATTTCTAAATCAGATTTCTTTCTTCTCCCAGAGCCAGTTATTACAGGAAAGGTGGTCGTGCCATGCTGCCAGTCAAATGGATGCCACCGGAGGCATTCATGGAGGGAATCTTCACCTGCAAGACTGATACATGGTATAATTACTGAACAGATACTGTACAGTAAGGCTCAAAGAGTATGAATCCACAAAGAGGAACTGTTTTTAATTTTAAAAGCAGATACAGTTTCCTTTGTTCTCGCTTTGAGACGTCTTATTGAAGAGTATATTACTTTGGAATGACAAAATTCTTTGATACATGCTGAATATCATGTGTTCATACTAATTGTTGCCAAACAGTACATCATACAAAGATCCCAACAGACATTGTGCATTAGTAATTTTTAGTATTTCTTTTCTATTACCAGATGTTAAAAATTGAAAACAGATTTGCATTGGAAATCATTTTTCATTTCTAACAATGTCAAATTGTTCTCTTGAGTGTTGACAAGTACCCCAGCAGCAAATTGCAGCTAATTCAAAAGCCTCCATGGGGTCAATACAACACAAACTGGAGAGATTTCCACAAACTAAGTAATTTTACTCCTAAACAAAACCACACAGACCTACAGAGAAATCAACATCTAAAAAGCATGGTATATCGAGTGAACATCGATACAAGACAGAGCAGCATCTGTATTCAAGACACAGAGTCAACTGAACAAAGAACGCAGTGAGAAACAGGGTCCAAACCACTTCTCCTGTGACAAAAGAAGTCAAATATTTAGCAAGGGACCAAACAACATCTAAAACTTTACTTTTGAAGACTGGAAGAAAGATTTGTTTACAGATCAAGTCTGAACTGTATAACTGCGATCAGAATTTTTATGTGGAGATGACAGATATATTAAAACATGGTGGTTGGAATATGTAGAGGATCAGCGACAGTTTGACCACAGAGAAGTATACTTAAACTCTGAAGGGGCACATTGTTCCTTCTTGCTTGTTGTTTGGAAGAGGAATCATTCTTCAGCAGGATAGTGACCGACAAAAAATTGGAAAAACAAGAGTGTTATCTTGTGTGGCCTTTTATCCAGTTACCAGAACTCCAGTGGACACCTGAATGATATAATCTAGTCCAAGCAATATCATTGAACTAATGATATTTTTTGGACCCCACTGTATACTGATTATATACCAGACTGTATATATGTTCATTTTGTCAAAGAGCTGAGGAGGTTCCTAGTTAGATGCAAACTTCAGCTTTCACCTTTTAGCCAGATCACAATTACATCTCCAGCTGTTTAAAGTATTCTTTGGTGAAATATATAGTATTGATTCTGCTATCCTCAGTCTGAGAGAGACGAGAGAACAACCAAGGCTCAGTATGTGATAGAGTCGACTCAGTTGTTGATCTGTCTCTCCCCCTGCAGGTCATTTGGAGTGCTGCTGTGGGAAATCTTCTCTCTGGGTTACATGCCGTATCCTTGTAAAACCAACCAAGAGGTGCTGGAGTTTGTCACCAGCGGAGGCAGGATGGATCCTCCCAAGAGCTGTCCAGGGCCTGTGTGAGTACTGACAGCAAATACAGAAAGAGGAAAGTTCAAGCATGGCACAACTGGGATGATTTTAGTCAGACTAGAGTTGTCTTGCTTGCTTGACATTTTCTATGCAGTGCAGATTTTCTGAGTGTAAATGTTTCACTAATTCCCTGCCAAGACAGAATGCTGTGATGTATAACATTGAAGAAAAGGAGAGTTATTATTATGTTATGACAATACCATTTGTCTGATAGTACTACTTTTATGGTAGATGTAACAGCTCAAACAATATATCTGAAATTGTGTTTGTTACTGTGTAGCTATCGGATCATGACCCAGTGTTGGCAGCACTGTCCTGAGCATCGGCCCAACTTCTCTACTATTCTGGAGAGAATTAACTACTGCTCTCAGGTACACTTCATATCACACATTTCTGTAGATACGTACAGAAAATTATCATTATTGTTACATAAATATAATATGAATTTACTATTTCTTCATACTTTTCTTCCGTGCCCTGTTTTTTTTTATTTCCTTGCTGCATCACTACTCTATATCAGGATCCAGATGTGATCAACACACCTCTGCCAGTGGAATATGGCCCTACCGCAGAGGACGATGGTGGAAGAGTCATCCGTCCCTCTGACCACACCTCCACCAGCCTCACTCCCCTACTGGCATCCCATACTGTTTCCCAGGATTCCTCCTCCCAGCTGGGTCTCTCCTCTCTGGGCCTGAGTCCAACCCCTCTTCCCCCACAGCCAACCAAACCTCGTCTACTCCTCCAGAGAACCCAACCTGTCCACCATGAAGTGATGTCATGCCGTGAAGCTCTGGAGCCATCCTGGGCTGAGCCTGTTCCTGCCCCTGGTTTGTCCTCTCCAGGCGTCTGCACGGGAGGCCACTGGCTCCACCCTGAGCCTCCTCATCACCGACCTTGCTCCAGAAACAGCTCCTCCTCAGGGAGCCAGAGGCTGAAGAACAAGACAAAGAACCTGTGGAACCCCACATACGGCTCCTGGGTTTTGGAAAACTTCCGGGGGAAGAAAACACTCGCTCACACTCAGTCCATGCCACTCTCAAGCTCCTCTTCCTCCACTTCTAACATGCAGGTTCCTCAGACCTGCAACCCAACTTTAGAGAGCAGCGAGGCTGGCGACTGTGCCAACAGCACCCACGTTAGCCCTTCCAGCCTCTGCACCTCTTCAACTTCATCCCCTTCCTGCCAGGCTCAAGCTGCCCTGAGCACATCCTCCCATAAAACAGGTAGCAGCACAAAAGCTGGCATGGACCTAGCTAAGCTCCATAGTTTCCCCTGTGGCAATGTCAACTATGCCTACGATGAGCAAAGCTACGAGGCCGAGAGCCTGCCCTTGGTTATGCCCAAAGCCCAAGAAGCCATCACAAACACCAGCTCTGCCCCGAGTGTCTCCTCAGGGACTAGCCTGGGGCTGGCGTTAGGCCTCCATACCTCCTCATCTTGTATGCCCAAGCTGCTGCTGAAGCGCCACGCCAGCTACGGACACGAGGACGTCAGGAGACACACCAAACCTGAGAAACCCACACGCGACCGAGACTCTGGATTTTCTTTGTCTGAAGACCTCAGTGTTACCCCTATCTAAGAAACGGCTTACTGTAACAGGGATTTTAAATTATATTAAAATTAAATGTCACCCGGAATCCCTTTTCACACAACCTGAGACTAGAATCCTGGATTTATGAAAAAAAAAAGCATGACCGCGAGGGCTTTGCCACGGTCTGAGAGCCACAACATCAAATTATTAGAGCTCCTGGAATGCTGGAAAACACAGTCACGTTCACAAACACTCCTCTGCACTGTGATACAGAGAGCCAACGCTGGACTCAGAGCCCTTTGCTGGGCTTCTGGTACTCTGGTAGCTGAACACTGAAGCTGAAACACTGCGGCACGCAGCCCTGCGCTTTCTCAATGTCCACATTGTCAGTGATGGCTGCCATAAATAACTGCTGTAGTTACACTCCTTTTCTACCTATATGTTTTTGTTTTTTCATGAACGCTTTGGCAGTAGTATATGTTGCATCACAGTAAACAATTTGTTGGAATTTGTTGTATTCAGTGTAATATGACCATAACAAGCCAAACAATATTGAGCCATTGGGAAGAGAATCTCCAAGATTGTGTTTCTTTTAAGAATTTTTTATTTCAAACCTTTAAAATTCAGAAAGGCTGTAGAGTTACTAAAACTAGTTCATTTATTTCATTTTATGCATTCTTTAGGAAGTAGTACACTTCCGTGATTCTGATTTGCTTTCACCCTAAATAATGTGAAAACACATACGCCTAATATACTGCAATAACAAGTATTACCTTTTTCTGAAAATGTCTGAAGTTTTCTCTGTTTTTCTAAATAGCTCTTGAGCTTGAGGGTTCATTCTCAACCTTGGAAACAGCCGTTTGGCAAACAAACTCTCAACACAAGGTCTACTTACTCAGTGCTTCTAAAGCCTCCCCAACAGATGGAGTTTGCTCAGTTGTCATGGAGATAGTTTGGTCGTTAAGTATGGCATTTTGGCCACATGAATGTGTAAATGAGGAGATCCTAAACCTTGCTTTTGTTTGAGGATGATCTTAGGTCTTAGGTGTCAAATGTGAATACAACCGTCCACTGACTGCAGGTTAATGACTCTGACCTCCTCCCAGTTGATCTGAAATCTCACGCTGAAGACAATACTCCAGAAAGCCTTTGCTTCTAGCCAAGAAATAGTCCCACACAAACCCACTTACACTTCTGTTTTTGTATGAATTAAAACAACCAAGATATGGCACGTTACTGGTGTAGAGGTGCTACCAGGCAGATATTTTTACCTTTGGATGGAGTCAGGCTAGCTGTTTCCCCCTTGTTTTCAGTCTTTATGCTAAGCTAAGCTAACCAGCTGCTGCCCGTAGCTTTAAATTTACTGTACAGACACAAGAGTGATATTGATCTTCTCATCAAACTCTCTGCAAAGTATTTGCCAAAATGTCAAAATGTCCCTGAAGGCGTTAAATGGTTTGCGCTGTACTGTAAGTAAGTGAAGCTTGTGCTGAGAAAGATCTTGATTTGTCTTTTGTATATTATATTTTTGACTATTCTTGACTCTCTTTCCCCATGTCCCAATATTTACTTGGACTTATAAACGTATATGCGTATAGAATTTGATGATGACCATGTAGCTGTGAAAATATTTGCTATTTTTGTACTGACTTCGTACACTGGACTAACCCATTGCATTCGTAGCTGTTTTATCATTTATTTGTATTCATTTATGTTAATGATGGATCTGTATTTGTAGTTGATCACTGCCATTAGATACCTCTACTGCATCTACTGATGTAGTGCTGGTAGTACCTATGTTTACTCAGCAGGGGGAGGTATTCAGCTTCGATATACCAAACATGCTGCTGCAGGTATCTCAGTTCCTACAGTTAATCAAAGATTTAATTGTGAAAAATCTCTATTTGGTATTTATGTTTTCAGGTTATTCTTATTTAATCAATTTGGTAGTTTTATTCGATATGTGTCTTTATTTGGAGCCTGAATATGTTGATTGTTTATTTTTTCATATGTTGAATGAACGGTTACATTCATGTGAGAGTTCTATAGGCTTACTGTGTGTTTTTTTTATGCTCAGGCCTGCTGATATTAGTGAGTGTTTATCTTTGTTCACTTGAAAATAACATGTTTTAGAAAAGACAAAAGGCTCACGTAGTTTTCTGAAGACTCCTTTTAGCAATTGATGTGGGCCATTTAGAAATATTGATTACTGTGGAAAGTCTTTCACAGAGAAAAAAATAATCTTCGTCTTGCTCACATTGTTTAGTTTTTATGGCCTGGTGTATTTTATTACACACTCTCTGAAAGTTTTTTTTTTCTGTATTCTTTATGTAGCTGAGGGTGCCTCAACCAAAAATGCATTCTATGCAATATACTGTATTTCACTTTCATCTAACCTAACTGTGCCCCAAATAAATCAACATATATTGATCTTATTTGTGTGAGTTTGATCAGTTACACAGTTTGCTCCCAGTGTCCCGGTGTTTGTTCACAATAGTGTTTTACTATTGAAAATAAAAGTAATAGTATTTTCCCTTTTTAATTCCACATACAATTTCATTCATTTCAATTGCGAAAAAAACATCTCAGACCAAGACCAAGACCAAATAATGTGCTATAACAAACATTGCAGCATCCAACAAGTTTTGCAACAGCACATGAAATTAAAATAATTCAAGATAAATTTGAATGTATAAGTTTAAATTAAAGTTTGATTACAGGAATAAAATCAGTGAAATAAAAATAAATTGATATACAATTAAACGTTTGTCAGAACAGTGACAGATAATACACTCTAACCATTATACAGTATGCAGTACTATATTGACAATGTGTTATGTGTTGTAGACATACGACTATAAGATCTGAGACCCAGTCAGAACTTCACACTGCACAGAATCTCTCCTTTAATATTACACTTACAGGCGTAACATTAGGCTGAGGGTTCAGTGGAAATAAGCAGGACAGGGTTTGTGATTTGTGATTCGCTTTCTCCCTGTGTTCATTCACATGTAACATACCATCCCTGAAACTTAAATGCAGAATCCCTACACTTTCACTTCTGTTCATTTTGTAGGAAGTTGAATTAGTGTCAGTTCATTTGCTCAATAGTTCAGTAACTAGTGACAACTCCTCTCTGTTCAGTGTCTATCATGTCTTTTCTGTCAGTGACTTTAAGCTAAATGGTACTTCTTGTAGCATTTCTGTACTCTTTTTAACATTGCCCATACAACCTATAAGAAGCCTCCCTAAGAGTCTCTCTGTAATGTCCATTAAAATAGTTTGAGTTCCTTTCACCCATCTACAAGTCAGCGATCACTGACCATCTCTTTCTGTAGTTTGGCTTTTTTCTTTGGTAACTGAGCAAAAGGTTTCTTCGCTCCTCCCCTCACTGCTTACAGACTCCAGTGTGTGGATGAGGTTTTCCAGCCCCCACAGGTAGCCGTCCTCCCGGTTGCCTTCCTGCCAGGGAATGTCATGGTTCAATGTCTGCCCCTCTGGTAATGCTGTGGTCTTGCCAAAGTCAATAATCCAGACCTGGGCATTGCCCGTGTGGTCATGGATAAAGAGGAGAGAGCTGCCAATGACCTATGAAAACCAAGAAGAGTTTCATATTAGCTTTTGCTTCTATTCATCAACCAATCCATAATTACAGATGGTTGACAAATTAAAGGAAAAACTTGAATAATAGGTAATGCATGAAGATGCTCCCACACAGCAGTGACTCCCAGTTATACTTGTACCCCAGGGGCTAGTAAAGCAGTGGCCAGGGGGTACATGGAAAAGAATAGAAATAATGATTTGATTATTTTTAAATTGCATCATCTGTAATTCTGAAACACTGAAAGTGTTTGAAAGCTAGTTACCAAGTAAAAAGAGTCTAAACAGTAACATTTTAAATAGTTAGCTGAACATAATGGATAAATGGTTGAAATGTCTACCTTCAGCCACTCCAAGTAGTAGTACAAATGCTAATTTGAACATCCACTCTAAATTCAAATGAACACATCTAGAACAACGCTTGGTGACGTTGGAGGACTGCTTGTGTTTATCCGACACCTGTGAGAGATTTCTGACCTGTGTGTGAGACAGCGCTCCCCACCACATCATCTAAACACAAAATCTGAGAATATCCTTTGGAAAAATGTTCAATCCCTCAAGCTGCCTTTAGGTGAAGTTACTGCTTCGAGAGTATGGTTGTTTTTCCTTTACTTTGTCACTCATCTCTAGATTAGTCATCACCTCGTGTTGCTTGAAGAACTCTGACATCTTCAGGGCCTGCTGGATCTCCGTCAGTCTGCTCAGGTAAGACTTCTGCAAGAAAAAACAGTGACGGGCATTAACCTTAAAATGCTAACATTACCTGAAGCCCATGATTTAATTTACAATATATTTAATCTGTAGAAGCTACAGTTAGAAACAGGTTGGAACATATCAGGGTGTAGACACCTCCGAGCATAATGAAAACTCAAACAACATTACAATGTGAATATTTGCTTTGTGCAACACAGTTGAATTGCTCTGTGGTTTGCTCTTGCAGTTCAAACAATTTAAGGCTGTTTCATCATGAGACAGGCCCCAATTATTTTTTTTCCAATTTAAGTAGTGAGCAAACAAAATAAATGTTATTGTCCAAACATTGAACACGGATGTGAGAGCTTAGTCAAGTGGCGTGTTTGTAGTTGGTGTAGTCTTTAAGGATAATGACTGCAAGTTTGCTCTATGTATATGCACAGTGTAAGTGCATAAACATGTTTTGTGACTGTCCTTGCATGCATACCGCATATGTTTGTGCAAAAGCGAACTCATTGCCACGTACTATGATGCTGACGTTCCCTCCAACAAAGTCCTTAAACACCTGGATGACATCCTGCTTCGATCTGGTTTTCTTGAAATCTGTTCGACACGTACCGTCACATTTCTAAAAGAGAAGAAAAGGCCTGAATGAGAATATTACACAATAAAGTGACTTCAAACCGAGTAATTTCCTTACAGTATACAGTATATTTTATCAAGTGGTTCCCGATGCTGAGTCTGTAACCAATCAGTTGCCTATTTACACATCCAGCAGTCATAATGGCATTTAAGCATTTATTAGGAGTTGTGTTTTTGGCCACGATGAATGAAGTCCAACATCTGACTTTTTAGCTACTAAACGCTCCATTATGTTCACCAGCGAGTCACTTAAAGCTCCATTATGTAACTTTTCGACCTTAAAATAACAGCTTCACTCATCATTTTAATGCCACACTGAGTTGTAATAGAGTGAGCGGTGCCACTGTCATTTCCACTCTGAGCCCTGTCTCCCCGTTCTCGCGTTATGTAACTTTCGGCTCCAGGTCGAGACAAGTGCGTAACGCTTCACTGAGTCACACACCACCAACTGGAAACTGGATTATATTTTATGGAGAAAATTATGAAAATGTACCCTCTGATGTCCTCCGGCTGCTCTGCTACAACTCTCTGTGATTTACACAGTTTCCTGATGGACAGTAAAGTAACTGCTGTGAAATGTAACAGCTGTTAGCTAGTTAGATTAGCCGTACTGCCCTGGACGCCCGGGACTGGGTGAGCACTCAGGGCACCAGGGGAGTGTTGGTGTTTACAATAGCAACACAGGAGCTTTGGACCACCAGGAAGAGGACGTATTCAGGCCCGAAACAGAGGGGGGGAGGGTTCAATCTTAGTAATGACTCTTAAACATAGACCCACAGTTAACATTGACATTTTAACTAGAGCAGCTTTAATGACAAGTTAATAGTGTCCACATAGCACATGGCTCCCTCTACCTTGATCCCTTCTATCCTGAAGCCCAGAGTGTTGGTGGAGCTCATGGTCTCCCTCCACTGCATGTAGCGAGGTTTGGTGACGCCTCGTTGGGAATGCTCCTGGGTAGTCGGCCCTTCACTGTCCACCTCCACCATCTTCTTGTACAGGTCCTCCCTCGGCTTGGGCCGTTCCCGAGCCCGGACAAGCTCCTCCTCCAAGTACGTCCTGAAACGGCAGAAGGGATAAATCCTTCAGGTCAATTTTAAAAGCGTTCTCTGCATGTAAATAAACAGTGGTTTTCTCTTTCAGGGTTTGTCTTGCATTCGCACCCTTAGTTATTAAAGTGCAAAAGTGATACTTGGTTAACAAAAGCACACTGTTCTTTTTATGAAGCCAACTTCAAGGTTATCAGTATAAAACCCTTACAGCAATAGCTTACAAAACACTTTTCGCAACAGAAGACTCTTCTTGTTTTACTTTTGCTGCACTAAAAGCCAAAGATCAGCTCCATTGTAATGTCCACTTGTGCAGAAAAAGATGAGCAGTGCATAAAAATCCCATTACTGAACTGCACAGCTCAGAGCAACCTGCTGTTTAAGGATTAAATTCTGCTGGTGGACAGTTCAGCAGCACATTTAACACTTGTCGTATTCATAGCAGACAGTGATGTACAAACAGATGTGAATTTCAGTTTCAGTTTGTGAGCTGCACTTCCTCTGTGCTGAAGAGGGAAGCTGAGAGGAGACTCCAGTGTGCAGTGTTCAACTGTAAGCGTCTGAGTGTTTGTGCAAGCTAGCGGTTTTGCAACTTTGTGGTTAAGAGTGTTTTTGACAAAGGGGAGTCTCCAGGGACACCCTGAGTGTGTGAATGTATGTGTGTGCATGTGTGTGTAGCCTCAGAGATACACACACAGACACTTAGGAGACAATTAAGATTGGTTCAAGTGTGTCGTCATGTGTGTCTGAAAGTTTAGTGCACGTGTGTGTATGTTGGAGCCTGATTGTGTGCGTGTGTCTGTATTTGCTTGTAAAACCGGAAGTAAAGCTCTCAGAGGGAAGAATGTCCCTACCTGCACACATGTTCATGCACCAACATGTGCATGTATACATTCATGTGTGCATTCATGCATACATGTCTGCGTGTGTTATGTGTGTTTGTGTGCCTGTGTGTGTGTACGTGTGTGTGTACTTATGCCCGTGCACATGGTTCAGTGAGGCACCCCGCCCGCTGTGGCAGGAAGCCAAGCATATAGCCTGCAGTTACAACAGGTGTTCCCTTGTAGAGCAAAAACGCTTTTAGGCAGCACATACTGTCGCCAGTCTGCACGTCTCATTAATCCATTTCCATAGAACAATATGGAAGGAAATGATCTGACATTATCATTTTCAAATAGGTACATATTGTAGCAGGAATAAACTATAAAAGTGGCCCTTTTTGACACACTTGTAGAAAATAATAATAGAAATAGAAATGATAAATAAATGCATAAATATCTATTACAAGTAATTAAGTGAACAGCTCACTTCCTTACCTGACTCCCATCTTGCAGTCCATGACGTTGGGAAGATCAAAGTTTGCCAGCAGATCAGTCATATGGAGGAAAGACTCTCCGTCTTTCTCCACAACGCCGTGGTAACCGGGCACAAACGGGAGCAGCGCGTCATCCCTCAGCTTCTCGAAACACTGCATCTCATTTTCCGAGAACTTTTTCAGGATGTTGCCCTCATCGGCTGCTTTGAAGTTTCCTGAGATGAGATAAAGACGGATTCTTTGGATTTCAGGTATTCACAAACAGCAGGGATGAGACAGTGGTTTTGTTAGACTGTCCAATAATGTACTTACTGTATATGTGGGAATTCAAGGGCCCATTTGGGTGTTATTGAGATATTAGGCTGGAAAAAATTCTAATTACTAGTTAGGCCATGTTAATTCTTTTGAACCGTGTTTGCATCTGTTGCAGTGTTAAAGGAAACCAGCAGATCTAACTTCAGTCATCCATGACAGAAAGCATCTGCTGTGCTAAAGTGTTTTAATCCCTCTCAGTGTGACTGTGCCTGATCTCTTACCCTACATTTTTCCCCATCGTAAATCTGTCAAACAATGTGAACAACACAACAAAAATGACACAATAATACCAAAAACAAATATCAAAGGCAGGACACCAATTTTTTGACAGTGGAGGGAGCAAGCAAAGCATACCTTTATGTCCGGCTAGCTGAACCCAGTTCAGTTTTCTCCTGTGGCTAGCACTGAAGGGCCACTGTACGATTGTCTTTAACTTCCACCACGGCTTGCTCTGGAAAACAATAAAACAAATTGAAGTAAATATGAGAACAGAATAGAATCATTGTAAAGCACTGGAGTTTTTGGGTCTGTGTGTATGTCCTTGTTCACATAAACGGTCTGATAGCAGAACAAGGTGCTGTAGAATCACTGAACCTTATACCTTATAATAGAAATCTGATCACATCAGCAATTCTATCCAGTAAATCTGATGCCATGCTTTTGGTTTTTCACTGCGTGAAACCTCTGATCTAGGTCAGTTAAATGCCATTTCTGTGGAAACTCATATCTGCTCTCAACATCTCTAGTCAGCATCTCCAGCTAGGCGTGATGATGGGCTTGCAACTTTGATTCACAAAGTTTAAATCTACTATCTTTGGCCAAAATGCCATTTCTCAAGGGAAAATCTGACCCATTAATCAAGGCTGACTGGCGTTTTTGCTGGCCTCTCAACTCCCACTCACTTGTTAGCGTTATCTGAACATTTTGGTGTCATGTGACTGTTTGTAGCACATCAAAGTATGCACTGAATCCTGAACAAAGAAAAAAAAAAGGACTGAAATATCTTTTCTTGGCAGAGATGTTTATTTTTCAAGGTTGTTTGTTTAAGGACTCTCCTCCCACCACCCTCACTTTCTCCTTCTTTCTCAGTCTCACTATATGCACACACACACACACACAGAATAACACAGTAACAGCTTGCATATTTCACAGTGCTTCACACTTACAGGGAACTGCCTGTTTTCTCCAAGAAAATGACCATATCTCAAATAACACTCACTTAAACACAGAGGATTATATTTCCCTGCAATCATCTCAAATATAGTTATAAGGAAAATGAAGAAACCCCCAGCAAGGCGTTGGACAGGAAAAGTAGCTCATGTTATTAGATCCTATCTTAAGGCTTTGGAGAGGTCATTTTATTCGGTGTGTTCTGATTGAAACAGGAAATGAAACAGGGACTCTCGTGTTAGTGAAACAGCTCACGCTTGAGTGTCTCACAGCTCACTATCCTCACTAATTGCAGAACTCTGCAGCAGCCAGCCGAGACTCTCTTAAATGTCAGGTGATATGCTTCACTTGCTGTGCTGCTACTTGTTTACTGATAATATCGCATTGTGAAGGACTTCCACAAAACGAGCATTTGTTTAATTGCCGCAAGTCTTTTGACTTTCTTACAGTGAGTTACTTATGTTCACCATGCGACCGGTTAATTGCATTTGGATTGAAACAAAGTAGGGTCCGGGGTCATGTGGTGTGATGTCTTATCCAAAGACTGAGAGTGGATGGGAATTTAGATCTGAACTCAGAGTTTTGAGGTAAACATAACGACCCTGCAGCTCTGTGGCCCATATTTACATTTTACACACAGTCTTCATGTTCATGGTATTAACAGCACGCTGTCCTGGCCAGCCTTAACGACAGAAACCACAAGAGTTTGTACTGATAACACTTAGAATAACACCGCTTTCACTTTTAAAATAGCAGGTCTGCTTACTGTATACTTACTGTATGTTCAACAAAACATCATGCATCGAAAGCCGCCCGCCAGTGGTGGAAGAAGCACTTCAGTAAAAGTGCTATAACAACAACGTACTCCATTAAAAGTCCTGCATTCCAAATACTCAAGTAAGAGAAATGTCCTTAAAGTATCAGTGTAAAAGTGTGCTATTCTATTATATATGACATTAGATACTTAGATACACACTTAAGTAAGTAAGCTACAGTGCTTTTAGCTACTCTACTGTATATGTGTAGTTGGGTAGTGTAGTTCAGTGAGTCCCAGCCTACAGCTCTGGCATCAACACAGTGGTAAGATAAATCTGAGGAGTCTTAAGATGATTAATGTGGAAGGAAATACAAAAAAGAAACAATGTTCTGCATGTCCTACATCTGTTACATCTCAAGAAACAATCCACAGGCAGTCCACCATCGAGAGGTCCTCAGCAACAATACTGTATGACAAAACATTCACATTCTTTCCTCTATGCCTTGATAAGTGTAGATATAGAGAATGTATTAAACAGGCTAAGTTCAACCTTTTTTAACCGGTCTTTGTAATAAAAAAAGGGTAATTACAAATATCAATAATTATCTATATGGACTACGATAGCTTTACATCATTGGACCTACACACTGACAGTGCTTTTTTATGAGGCACCACAAAAATGCACATGCTATCAGAGAGCTTATCACCTGTCTGTTTAATGTAAATTCTTCCTTTTAAAAGTTACTTGTAACTAAAGCTGTACAAAGAACAAGATTCTGATTAACTTGATGTAAATGTACATAGTTACTTTCCCACACCTTAAAAAAAACAGACACAATAAAGTTGCGTTTACTCACACAAACGAAAATGAACCTATTTTTTAAGTGGGCCTGTCACAATAATGATGTTATCGCCTGTGGCATGACCACAGTCATTTCTGCTGACCTTGACAATGCCTGTTGAGTTTTCATGCGTGTTTGTTTACATAAGAATATCACTAACATTTTAGCCAACATGATGCCAGAATAAACAGCAAGGCTTTCCCCACCATTATTACACTGCCTATTAAGGTATGAATGACTCCACACAAATGTCTAGTATTTATTAAAGTGCCATTATTGTTAAGAGAGAACAAGAGTCCATGTTATTTACTGTTTTGGTTGTGTGGTATTTTATTAATAGTTTGTTTATTTAGGATATTTTCTTTTTTTTTTTTTTTCACAATCCAATAACAATGACGTAATAATCTTAAGAACTAAAAGTCCGTTGCTCTTTGAAAGGGTGTGGTTGCATTATTATGCTCGTCATTAAAATGCATAAACTGCTCTTAAAGGACCAGTGTGTTCAGTGGAATCGAGTGCAGAGGCAGAAGACTGGAACCAACTGAAAACCTTGACTCCACCAAGCAAAGGGAAAACTACGGTGGCCATGAAACTGGAATGTAAGAGGCCCTATCTAGAGCCAGTGTTTGGTTTGTCCATTCTGGGCTCCTGTAGAAACATGGCCCACTCCCTCTATAGATTAAAACAGCTCCATATTAGCCAGATGACTACACACTACTAAACACATACCTATACATATTATATTGCACTTCTGCCAATAGATCCTCCTAAATGCTACACAGTGGACCTTTAAAACTACAATAATATTGTTTATCGCAGGGACAATATATCCTCTTGTGACAGGCCTGTTTCTAGTAATGGCCTAATGTTTGCTTTCTGTTTGCTTTCTCCACCTGTCACACACATTTGCTTTGAATCACCAGACTGGTTGTCTGTCTGACACACGGAAACACCACCATGCTGATCTGAGTGGTTGATTGCAACACTGCTAACACAGAAAGCAAACTCTAATTTCCAACGATCCATTTCCAGGGAACTGGTTGTGTTGGCCAACCATCATCCCTCCTGCTATCCCTGCGAGGCTGTCATCTGGCAGTGCTAATGGGATGCAAACCACTGCAAGATTTATCAAATGAATGCTGGGGCCTGTTTTTCCACCTTTCTGCCTATTCTCTCTTCTGCTGTGTTTCCATTAAAAAGCACTTTGCTGTGCACTGCCAGGAATTAGTCTGTACCATGCATGAACTGAAGCGTGAAGTCCCCAAAGCTAAGTGCTGATACGCAAGTGTTTTTGACTTCCTGAAGTGGTTCTTTGTTAAATGTCAAAGGCCAAGGCTCAAATCGGCTACTGACCACAAAAACATTATTACACAATGACATGTAGGTCTGTGCTGTAAAGTGTGTGTGTGTGTGTGTGTGTGTGTGTGTGTGTGGGCTGAAGGGGCAGAAGCAGAAAAGTGGCTATTTTCAGACCAACATATTTCCATTCTAAATGACGACGCCTTAAAGAGCCAATAAAGAGCTAGAATGAACTTTGGGAAAGCCTTCATTCTGAGCCTCACTTCACTGGACAATGGTAGTGAAAAATATCCTCTCAAACACACACACACACGAACACACAAGCTCAACAGGCAATGTGTATTCAGTCTGTTTAAGAGAAAGTGACAGCTACAGACCTTGTATGGAGAAGGAAGAGAGAAGTGGTAGCGCCATAAAAAAACAAAAACGAATGAACGTCCAAAGTGGTGACAGTGTAGACAAAAAGCAGATTATGTTGTTGACTGGAGAAACCAGGAGGTGACTCACTACGATCGCACTCAACTTCCCTACAAATCACATGCACAGACAATCGAGTAAAAGCTCAACAGAGGCAAAAAAACACATGTTGTTGAAACTGAAATGTGGAATATGAGGGTTTGTTCTTCTGAACGGTGTGAGCAGCACTTTAAGCGCACATGCAGGCGTGTTTAAGAAGACTGCAGTCACATATGAAGCTTTATCAGCCAAGAATGTCAGAGGCAAACAAATTTCCACCCTCAGCGTCTATTGAATTAAAGGCCAATGGTTTGACACTAGTGTGTGTGCTGAAGGAAGGGCGCACACTGCTAAAAGGTCAGGACTTACAGTTCCAAAACCAAGAATGACTTGTTGATTTGACATTTAACGTGCAACCTCTTTTCTTAGTATTATTAATCTGTGGGAGTTGTCCACTTAATGGCATGTTTCCAAAAAAAGACACAATGATTATTGCGATATGAGATACGCTTGTGCTGCATGTGTCATATTAAATCACGAAGCTGTGTTTTTATCATTAGTTTGTACCACAAGGGCCTTTAAGACTTAGCACAATTACGCAATAAAAGCCCAACTCAGACAGCTTGCCACATAAAAAAAACATTATCTAGGTTTCAGCAGCTTCTTCATGTTGGTTTAAGTTCATACAGCGGATCATTATGCTGATGTGAAAGGCTCTGATAAGCCATTAAACATGAGGAGGGGTAATGTGATTTCAATGGGGACAATCACATTTCCTGAAGATTATCCTGCGCTCTCTGGCAGGGATCTAAAGGTTGTCCATCTTTCTTTCTTTTTCGTTTTTTAACACGATCTTTCACAACAAGAGAAAAGTACTGTGACTGATCACCGGTACATCCGACAACTGAAATTTCCCACATCTCAAACCAACACTGTTGAACCCAGAACAGATACAAAAATGTAGAAGTGACTAATTTCCCATGAGAGGTTTTTGTTGCAGAAATCACTTACAAGATGTGTTTATGGGACAAACAAACTTTAAACAAATGCTAACACTGTAATTGCCTGCTCTCTGCAGTCAAGCAGATCCCAGAGGTCTTCTGTGAGGAAGTCGTTTGCTGACTGCTGTTTATGTGCTGCTGTGCTTCACCGTTTCTTGTTTTTCAAAACATCAGCTCTTTGCTGCCACTGCGCAATTACAGGGGATGTAGATTTGAAAAGATAAAAAAAAATTTGAAATGTTTTTGTCCCAGCATGCTTTTGCTGTAGCTGATTTGTTCATGCATTGTATAGCAGTAGGGCATTTATACAGAGAGTGTTTTGAATTGTGTTCGCACCCTGTAAAACATGGGAAATGCTATAAACTACAGTGCAATTATTTGCAGGTAAATCCCTGGAAAACCTGCCAGTGACCCATGATAACTCAGCCTAAGCAACCACTTTAATAGCGTCCCGACAGTCCTCACTACATCAGTGTCTCTCTGCAGCTCACTCACCTCTCCAGTGTCCACCAGATGCTCCAGAGTGATAATGCCTTTGCTCTTGCTCTCGTTGTCACTGAGTAAGTCATCCTCGGACTCCACAACAGAGGACCCCGTGGAGGAGATGGAGGAGTTGGACAGTTTCCTGCGCAGGGGACCGTCCACCACATCATCCCAGTCCTCTTGCTGCATCTCCCGGGAGGAGCCGCCTCCCTCCGGGGTGATGGTGACCTGCGGCACCCGGCGCGCATCCATCACAGCCGGCGCTCCTGCAGCGGACGACGGGGAGATTTGAGCGGCTTTCTGAATGAGATCATCGCAAATCTGGGATGACTTCGCGGCTGTTCTGCGCTCCAAACGCGACCCCTCGGTGAGTGCAGTCCCCGACAGCCCGAAGTCCTTGGAGCTCTTTCTCCTGCACTCTTTGGGCATTGGAGACAGAGAAATCCGTCGCGAGAGCGCACGACGAGAAGCCGAGTGACTTTAACCTTCAAATCTGTTCATTTCACTTTCGGAACCGCAGTTTGAGTCGAGGCGCTGAGCCGAGCCTCTCTGGTACTTCCTCGTTGTTTGTTATCCGACTTTAAACACGAAAAAAACGCCTCTGTCAGCCTCTGTCCGCTCCGCGCGCACTGTTGGAAAGGGGAACCCCTCTGGTGGCAGCGTGGCTCGCGCTTCTACGCGGTGTACACACACACAGGCGCGCGCCGGCGCACTCACTCTCTCCACTGTACGAGCTTTATTATCTTCCGCATCGCCTCTCTCGCTTCCTGACTGAACTTTTCAAACCAGCTGACAGGTGAAGTTTTTAAATCCTTACAGACGTTCTGTCTCGCGCTAACATCAGTGATCAGCATTTAAATCAAAATGAACCCACCCATCGAATAGAAAAAGTTCACATTTTA